TGCCTCCCCATGATGAATTAAATAGCAAGGAACGACGAGGAAGGATTGAGGGCCGCCATTTTTGGACATGCGGTTCTTGCTGCGTACCAGCTCTATGGCCCCAAACTCCCCTGGTTCGGATACGCTCGAGTGTCTCATTTTTCTCCAACATCACTGCAATTGATGTGATCCGCTTGTGTTGAGTTCGCCGTCAGTCAAGATGCCATGTTGCTCAATGACTGGCTAATGGCTGGTACATTGAAACTGAGTTATTGTCGCCACACCAGTCAGGAATTTTCTTGGACCTCCAAGTGGCTGACAGGCGCTGCACCTTGCTATTTACCGGGAAATCACGCTCAAATTTAGCGCACAGAGTACATGAGATGTTCAGATGCCTGAAAAATCGCCCAAGTTAATTCAAGGCGAAAAGCGCAATTGCGCTGCAGCTTGCACCAGCACGGCCATGCGGCAGCGAGACATGCTGAAAGGCCACGAGCCACAGGTCGCACGGAAGAATTCCTTGGCCTTTGGGTGTCTATCGGTCAGGGATCTTGATAAAGGCAACCTGGTGAGCGTCGGCGTCGGCCCGCAAAGGAATGCTGGCGGATGGAGGCGTTGCGTCGGCGTCAGGGAGGCTGAAGACCTGTCGTGAGGAGGGGAGACATGGAGGAAGATCGGGTGGAGCCGTTCCAGGATGCAAAGGCCCTCAGTATGCCTTCTATGGCACGGTGTGTAATCAGGCTGGACAGAAGGGGTGCCAAACGGTTTGTGACTAGCCTGTGCTACGAAATTAATTCACATGGCTCTGCACCGCTTGGGACAGGGGCAAAGAGGTGTGGCGAAAGCCAGAAGTATTGTTTCTTTCGCGCTAAGTTGTGGCGTTGTAAAGACGTGAGTGAATTTCTCTGGGGACATCTCCCTTTTGGAGTGAGTGTGTTACAATGGTCTCAATTCAGAACACTGACAGAAGACGGGATGAGTCAGGCCGCCTGAGTTCAAATACTTACTCAGAAGTATAATGTATTCGTGGCACCGATTTTTGTGCAAAATCGTGGCGCAAAACCTACACCGGCATTGTGATGCGCCCGTTGCAGTAAGAGCATTTCCGCGACAGGGAAACTGTTTTTGGCTGTTCCCACATCATTTGGATGCACTGGATGTGGTCCTCACGCTGGCGGCGCATGGCAATGAGCTGCCCTCGCTCTAGGACAGGTCACCAACTCAAGACTCTAAAGTAACTAAATCAACTAAACTCAATAACTCCAAACTCTAATTTCAAAAGTGAAAGCCAAACACAGAACTAATTTACGTTGTCCCAAGGAAGCTCCCTCGGGAGCACAGAACTCCTGAGACACCATGCACAGGCGCAAGGACGGTCTGGGCCATCCGCCAGCGACACAGGGTCAACATATTGTGTGCAGGGCGGCTGCACTTCATACGGCTTAAGCCCCGCAGCTTTGTCTCCAAGCTGCACCTGTGCCGCGTTGGGAAGAGAATGGCACATGACACAGCCGTTCGGAGGCAGAAGCATACGCGTAAAACTACTATGTGGGCTGGGTGCTGGCTTCCCAGCGAATACCCCTGCAAAAGGAGCAATGATCGGCAGGGGCCCCGCGCTGGCGTGGCGAGGTATCAATGAGACGGAGTGCGCTGGGATAGGCGCTGTGCTCTAGACCTGCGCGTCGTATGGCAGCGCGTCTTGTGTGTCTCCACTGCGCATCCCTAATGTGCATCCCTAAATTTTGAGTTTTTTTCTTAACTTTGCACCATTGACAATGGAATATTGTTCCGAAATTCGGCGGTTGAGCAAAGACGAAATGCGTCTGCAGATATCCATCTCGCATGCGGTGACACTCACCGCTTCAACCCCCATGAATCTTTCCCACTCTTTCACCAATATTATCGACTGGAGATATTCCTGGTTTCAATCTGAATTCTCAGGTGGCAGTCCAACTGGCAAAGGTTGGTAACATTAGAATGCATTTCGTTCATGTTCTCGTGTCAGCGTAGTTTGAGTTGCACTCATGTTGACATCGTTCTGCGTCCTTTGCTCTCCATTGTTTCCGTTTCAAGAACTTCCAGATACGCGAGAATATCCAGCAATTTATCTGCTTATCTACTATTTCTCTTTCCAGTCCCATACAAGAGATCCCTTTAAAACCCAATAGATCGAACAGCAGTTAACGTAACCATGCAAAATCATCATGCATACATCACCAAATGGGGATAGCATTTTCCAAAAGCACCACCAAAATTTCCTGCATCTTCAGGTCCCAGCAACCGCTTCTTGTGGTGAAATAAAAAAGATTCAAATCGGTCCCAAATCAGTCCCATCAGTTACATAGCTGCAATTGGATGAATGGTCGGCCATGATTTTGTGCTTTGATGGCTGTGCCGTGTCCATTTGCAATGCAATCTTTGCCCTGTACATTTGTCATACCGGCTCACGGTGTAACTTAAGTTCTTGTTGAACTACTAGTTTTTGTAGCATACTTGGCTTTAGAAACCTTTCACTGTCACATGTGGCTTGAAGCACTCTATGTTGTCCTCTATAGCATAGCTGCAGTACTTTCTCATTTTTTGAATCCTCGAGCCCTCTTGCAGCAAAATCTGCCTTCGACCGTCACTAGTGGAAATGGCCATTTGTGGGACGCTAATCGACAATAAATCGCGCCTACTGGGACGCCACTGGGACGCTTTCTCGAGCATTGGCCGAGCGCGCAGATTAGAGGAAGCGTCCCAGTAGCGTCCCGGTAGGCGTCATTTATTGACATCTGGCGTCCCATAAATGGCCATTTTCATTAGCGCATCATCAAAGGTATTATACAGAAGACCCTTGCTACAAATTATTGAGAAATCCGCAGCTCCTAATGAACTGTCGCGAACTTTTGGCGACAAAATCCGAACTCATAAACACACCTTTGGATTAGAGTTGATAAATTTAAGTCAATGAAATGAGCAGAGAATGCGCCATGACCATATCTGACATGTAATATCGGAACCAGGGAGTAGTTATCAACATTGCAGCTCAGGCCGATGATTGAGGATTCGCCGCTACTACCTCCGTCCCCAGAGTATCAATACTTTTGCCATTACAAGAGTGACAATTATCTCTTTTTTGATCATGCTGTAACTTTGCTGGATTAACTCGATTAGCAAACCTGCTATTACTGGGATTCCTTGGTCGATTCTAGCCTGATGTGGATCTTTTTTACATTAGTCGTTGTCGTGCAGCAGGAAATTCACAGACCCACCAAAAGCGTCCCTCTCCATCTCCTTCAGAGCCAAATTCGCAGTTGTTTTGTGCCCACGTCATTTCCATGTTTGCCTGTCTACTTCCCCTCAATTATCCAAGAACCTTGTTGCAGGCACTCGCAACGCCACTGGGACACCTTGATCAAGCTCATGAGCTATATGGCGAAGAAAGCTTTGTTTGCCGCCGTTCTACATTCCTTAATGATGCCAACCCCTCAGACGGTTGATGTACCTCAGAGGTACAGAGGTACCAGCAGAGTCTGCTGTAACAGAAGGAGTGGGCTACGCTGTGAGATGCTTGTGGCAAATAGAGATGCCATGTAGTTCACTTCCTTAGTTTTGGCTCCAAGTCTGGTGGTGTTCTAAATTTTGCTATGATGCATTTTGGCTGAGTCTTCTGGTCGTCAATGTTAGGAGAACTGAAAATGGACAAATTCTTCAATGATGCAAAACTTGCTATAAAAGAACATTCAGAACTTTGAAATCTGACAATTGTGGTTCTGGTTCTCCATTTATCACCAGTAGAAACAGCCTGTTTGCGATGGCAACTGCGATGCCATTTTGACACAAATTGATGCCATCACGGCCCCTTTTATGCCATCGCACTCACTGCGATGGCATCAATTTGTGTCAAAATGGCATCGCAGTTGGCATCGCAAACAGGCTGTTTTCTACCAGTGTATCCGGTTGTAGACACAGTGTTGTCGGCAATGCTGATCCATCGGGTCGCCCGTAGGAGTTCAGCATTTTCATTGCAATACATACACTTGGCACCTTGCCACATTCCCACACTGTACGCTTTTGCAATATACAAGTAAGCCATCAGCTATGACATTACAGTGACTTCGATTGGAAGCCACACAACCACCTGGAAGGTTTCCGACGAAATGCAATTTGTGGGTGTAAATATACCGGCCGTGCTTTCTGCCATGCTGCACACGGGGCAGAAAACCTGCTATTAACTAGGTACAATAAACCGTTGATGGGAAATTCGTGCAAAGTGGGGGAGTGGTGCAAACGCCGAGCCAGAACTTGATGCAGTTGAGGATATGTTGCTGGGCCAGATTGTTGCCTTACTGTCGCTCTGTATGTATTGGAAGTTCAGGCAATCATTGGAAACACTGGTACTGCTGCTGAACAGCCAACAACTGCTGGTTGGAAGGGGTTCTTCAGCCGTTATCAACGATGAAGGAATGGAAGAAATGGAGATTGGTTCTGCCCTTTACCGTCACTGATGCCAGGAATCCTTGTAATCTTCCATGGCACGCCCCCACCTCTTGACACCCATCCTGCACGGATGACTGCATAGCAGCAGATGTGCATGTACTCGGATCACGGCAGGGCTAACCCTACAAGGTGAGCGCCCCCCTCGTCACCGCGCCGGGGATCCTTCATTGCCACACACTTCCGATGCCAACCCGGAAAGTCCCGCGGATAGGCCGGCCCGCTGTGCATCCCGGAACGACTTTAGGCGATCATCCTCCGTGCCTCCCCTTCCCGAGAGTCGCCCCAGCCTCCAGGACGGCGCCGCAGCGCCTCCAACCGCCTAGTTTCCTGCGTGGACCGACGCCGACGCTTGCCAAGTTGCGCACATCAAGCTCCCTGAACGGTAGGCGCCCACAGGCCAAAGGATTCATCGGTGTGACGCGTTATTTGGCCCCCCACTCCCACCCCGGATGCCCCCCAGTCCCACCCCGGGGCCCCCCCACCCCCTCGTTGACGGCCATGGCATCTTTGCCCATCAGTGGCGGCTTGGGGCTGACAACATGCGGCGGAAGTTGGCGGCGTGGGTTGCTTTGATGCTGGTGGTGGCGGTGGCCGGCGTGCGCGAGCAGCTGGACAAGAGGATCCAGGACAGTGAGGATTTAGTCCGGAAGCTGCAGGAGATGGCGACGGATATCTACGCGAGACGAAGCTCTATCGTGCCTGACTGCTCTTGCTCCGTGCACGGCTGCACAAACATAATCCCGCCGGACGCGGAGTGCTCTGACCTGCTGGGCCATTCCGAGGAGATATGCGGCCGCTGCGAAACGAGAGGGAAGCAGGTGAGGTGCGTTGGGCCACGCGTTGTTGGCGCGGCTCGACGATCGAAAAGGCAGTGCCCCCTGTGACCCCATTGGGCGACCAGCTCGTACTCGGGTCGCCGTTGTTTGGAATCCTGGCGCGTGAGGCGGAGGCGGCGTTGTGGGTTCGACTTGACGCGCTGAGGGGAACATCTCTGGACGAAACGATGCCCGTCTTGCTGGCCAGCCTTCCTGAGATGCGGCAGCGCCCTGATCGCCAGAGCGGCGGGGTGGGGCCCGGCCGGTTGGCAAGGTGCGAAGCATTGCGGCCGCATGCCCTGGGGGGAAGGGGTGATGTTCCCTTTCAGTAGTTGACTCTCCCCCCGCCAGCTCCACGCATGGGCCTGGGGCGCGACAGGTGTCGGATTCCTGTGCTCGAATCACTAGCCCGTCAAGTTGTGCTTTCGGCGAGTACGTTCAATTTCGACTTGAATGTCTGCCGCTGCACTGAGGGTGTGGCGTGGCTGACAGACGCGGAGAATGGCGTGGACCAATGCTTCCATTGGCGTACTGCAGGTCACGGTGGATAGGTGTCCACCGCGTTGAACACCAGGGCCGCCGTCCAAAACGTGGGGGGCATCATCTTGCGTGCCCTGCGCTATCTTGTGCGCCCCCACATTCCGTATCAAGTCCCTGAAACAGTATTCCCCAATCCCCGTGCTATTCAACACCCTCCGTGCTATCCTCCATGACCTGCGGTAGTATTTCCTCTGCACCATATGGAATGTCGTCTGTTTAAAAGCCAAAATTAGTTATCAACCCCCCTTACAATAACGATAGGAAGTCACAATCGGAAAGATTGGCTGCCGAAACCCTTAACTACCAAATTTGAAAAAGAAGAATTGAAACCGAGACCTAGGAGCGTTGGGCGAAAACAAATTTGGTCATTTTTGACACCAGAATCGAGTTTTTCTATGCAGAAGACCCGTGCTACAAACTGATGCCGATTTCGCTGTTCCTAATGGATTGACTTGATTTTGGCCGCATACTCCAAACTCATGAGCCCAGCTTTGGACGAAATTTCAATAAAATAAGTCCCAATGACGAAGAAACATTGCGCCAAATGACAGATGACATTTAATATGGGGCAGAAGGGGTCTCAGTCGGTGCCACAACTCCAACCGAGAATTCAGGACGCCGCTCAGGTATCTGTAGAAAATGGCACAATTTCATCTGGCTATCCTGAACTCGAAGGGCAACCAACTGCCAAGCGTCGCCCTGATCTTGCTCGTGCTGTTTTCAGCTTGACTTCTTTCAATCGATGGTGAGGACGCCCCCAGGGGAAGACCCGGAGAAACTGAGCGCCGCAGTGAAAGAGTCGATATGCACCTTTCAGCCTTTGGACAAAGTCTTTAGGGAGACCGGGCCAGCAGGGAACTTTACGTGGACATACGTTGCAACCACATCGGGAGTGCACAAGTGAGTTCCGTACAACGCCACTGGGGAAATCTTGAATTGTATGAGAAGAAAGCACTGTTTACTGCCGTTTGGCATTTCTTGGTGGTGCCAAACCCCTTGGAGGGTAATTGCTCTCTTGTGTAACAGAAGGGGTGAGCACCGCTGAGAGGTGCTTGTGACGAAGGCAGGCATCATGCACGTTCACTTCTTTGGTTTCTGATTCAAGCTGGCTCTATTCAAAATATTGCTGTGATGCACTTTGGCTGAGTTTGCTGATCACCACTCTTTGAAACTAACAGTGGGAAATTGGTGATGCAAAGTATGCTTTCAACAAACATTCCGCACTTCGAAATCTGAGCGTCACGGTTTTGGTTCTGTATTTTGGAGTTACGTAGCCATCGTCTGTATGCATTACGTCTAATGGGTGCAGGCTGAGCACGGCCACCTCTGGACAAATGGTCTGGGAAGCAGAGGATTTTTCCGGTTGTTTCGGTGCCTAGGCTGTGAGTCCACGATGCATGCAGGCCCCACGAGTTTGGGCTCTGTGCCTCCGAGCCCCCACGACGGCAAGCGGTGCAGCTGCACTGTGGTACCAGAAGCCACTATGTTGTATGCAAATGCTGAGTCATCAGCTCGCTCATCGGAGTTCATCCGTTCGTTGCTGTGCATAAGGATGGCGCCTTGCCACATTAACACACCGTGCGCTTTTGCTGCGTGTCAGTGAGTCATCAATTGTGGTGTTGCTTGGTGCCATGTAAATGCATATCCAAATTCAAGTTCAAATCAACGCATATGCTGATGTGGATTTAAAACCACACAACCATACGTAAGGTTCTTGACAGTATGTGGCAATGTACCTGCTTGCCTGGTGCCGTACCACAGTGATGCGGGAAAACTGCCGGTCAAATTGGGGCTGTAAACTGCTCACAAGAAAGTGGGGCAGGTGAGGGAGTGGTGAAAATTGTCATCCATCGCCCCTCTTCCTGTGGAAGACAGAACTTGCAGTTGTGAAATGCTTCACAGCTGCCCCGCTTGGGCCTGGCAGGCTAGCCCAGGCCACTGGCATTGCGCTCATAACGAGTATGATCTATAAAATGGGTGCCACCACCAACCACACTTCTAAGATGGCTCAGCGCTATCAAGTTCCCAAGGCCGTGGACACTGCGCCAACAATTGGCCAAGGAAAAGCCAGTTATTTCAATTATGCAGTGACGGCACTCGCTTGAGGGGAGCTGCATACGCCAAAGCATTCACTGTTAGGAATCCCTTGGCGATGCCTCTCAGGGCTCTGTAGGTCCATAAAGGGGCCGTGTGAGCCCACGCGGATGTCATGTTAGAACGGTGGGCCTGGCGGGGCTGGACGACTGATAGCAGCGTGTCGTTTTTAATTTGCTGCGTCCAGCGAATTTGCATGTATATGAGGATGTATGCCGACGCATTTTGAAAAAGCAACCTCGTTGTAGCACTGCTGGGCACGGCTCAGCAAGAAAAGTGCTGGAACCCACTGAAGTGGCATGAGGACAATTGCGAGGCAGCCCATCCTAATGGTATTGGAGAGCCAGAGGGAATGAGTCACAACAGGTTGGCCGGGCACAAATCACAACCGCATATCCTTATTTTACATGTACATGGCCATCTGTGAGAGGTGCAAGTGCACTGGCAGGCATGATTGAACGCAAGCAATAATGAGGTTCCTTCTGGAGGCCGTCCATGGTGTCGCAGGCGTCGCGGGTGATCGCATCACATGCTGGAATTTACGCCCACCTGGATGCTCCGGAATTAGCATGTGCAGTTTGCCAACTTTGATACTGGGTTTCCTTTTCAGGAACCCGCACTTGTAGGGCCACAAAATACGATGGTGTGTTCAGTTTCAGCAAGGGTTGGAAAGGCTGAGAAATGGTTATGGTCGTGGCGATATATGTGGTTTGCCCACAAGCTTGTTGCAGCACGGCCACCCGGCAGAGGTCCGGCTCGCTGCAAATTCACGCCTTTTTGTGGAGCCAGCCAATATGTTAAATTGTTTTCCCCATTGCTCCTTCTGCGAAAACAACTTTGTGGCACAATTATTTCCTCGCCTTCAGATAATCTGACATAGATTGTTGTGTAATCATCACTGTTTCGAATCGAGCCCATCTGAACATGCGATTACTCTGCAGAGTATATCCAGGTCTTGCAATTGAAAGGGGCTTCCCAGAAGTCGATCCCCAGCGACCTCTTGACACCTGCAGACAATTTGACCCCGTAAGTGGCAGATTCCTAGAATGGAGTTGGTTGGGTGCTGAAATACACCTGCCCTGCGATTTCTTGTTGGCATGTGTGATATTGCTTGTTTGAGGAAGAATTTCCAACTGTAGGCACGGATCAAGAAGTTGAAAAGTATTTTGCCTCAAAATGATGTATTACCCGTAATTGTATGTATGGATAATATTTCGAAATGTGTGATAGCAGGCATGAATCCCAGCAGACTAGCGGAGATGATACACTGCAGGCCAGGCTTGTAGTGGAATAGATGCGATGTTATTCGCCTTGTCACAGTTCTTTTAGCCAAATGTGAGGGTTTGCTCAAGGGTGGAGTTTCGCATGGAACGCACATTGAATCTTAAATTCCTAACAAATAGAAAGTTCTAGAGTGCTCGAGAAAATATGTCGATACAATCAGATCCGATGTACTGATGGCGTTGTCGTCCTTCTCTCATCCGTGCAACTGTTCCTAGCCTTCGTTATCTCCTGCTGCCATTGCCGTATTGATGAAGTTTGTGACATTTTTCAATTGCTTCACTTGTTCAGAGGGTTAGACCATGGTTCAACGCCGCCAGCAGTGGGCCCAAAGATGTTGTGATCGTTCTGGACACATCGGGTGAGAATGCACTTGCTAGAGGAAACGGCAATTACTTCGAAGTAGTGAATGCATTGACATCCCTCGCTGCTATATTTGCACCTGAAAGTGACAATTTTCACCACCGCTCCAATTGATGCGTGCCACCAGTGAGGTGCGAAAATTTAATATCACTGTTTTGGGCCAAAGGTATATTGCTCTGTTGATCTGATTGGTTGATAACTGCAGCCATCATGAAATCAGTGTTTCAGTGCTGCCAACAACACACATCGAGCAGCACTGCAATGCCCAATAAAAATGGTCACATTATCTTGACAAAGCATCGTGAGGGCGTCTTTGCACGGGACTGCAATACGTCCACTTTAGCACGGATGCTCGAATTGAGGCTAAGTTTAGCACATCGGCAAAGTGTATCTCTTGCACAGGCTTTTATATTCCAAAGTCTGAGTCTCTGTCTGTACCCTCTTCACTGTCCTCGCTCACCACCTCCAGCACCAAAACACATTTTATGTCAGCTTGGCACTAATCCCAATGAAGGTGAAACTGTGTATTGCATGCGTCATAAAACTTCTGGAGGTGTATATTACATTTTGATGCAATACATTAATAAGCATGGGGTACCAAGATTGGGCATTTTTGCAATTATTTAGGAAAACGCTATTTTCAATATTGTGAGCTAGTATCGCTTTTAGTGTAATATCGATGCTAATGTGGGGATGGGTGGAGATTTTCCCATCCTGTTTCCATGCATTTTAAGATATCTTGCACATTGCTGGTTTAGCGTATTCCATATTGGCCTGGATAGGCCAGTTGGACAAGCGCCTTCACTGATTTGATGGTAGTAATATGTGCTGATGGCGTACAGAGAGCATGGGCAAGGCTCTTGGGTCAAGCGGAAAGACGAGATGGGAAGTCACAAGGGACGCCATCTCGCGGCTGCTGGGCACTTTCGGCATTTCGGACTTCGTGAGCGTCGTGACCTTCAATTCCGAGTCGGAGGCTCTTGGAGGGGAGACGACCCTGGTTCGGGCAAATAACACCAACATCGAAATGCTTAGAAGCCAGGTCATGGACGTTACACCGAAGAGCAAAACCAATTTTAGAAAGGGCTTCCAAACCGCCTTTGATGTCCTGATTCGATCGAGCAAGCTTGCAAATGAGAAGGACATACCTCCAACCTCGAGTTGCACGAAGGTAGGCTTGTTGTGTATGTAAGGTCAACAAACTCTTGAAAGTTAGCCTGAGAAGTGGATGGAGCCAGAAAAAAACCGATGGTTACATCCTCCCAAACTCACGCTGCACAAAGGTACTCTTTTTCCTATTGAATGATCTCTTTGCACAGGCATAATACTACCAAACATAATGGGGAAGGTGTGTACTTTGGGCGTTTCCATAGTCGTTTGTATCGCTAAGCAAATGATTGCAGAGGAAGGTTCTTGCCCACGACGTGTTGCTTTCTTGGCTGGGAATGTGAAATTTAATGTCATTCATTCATTTTCTTCTGTATGTTCTTTCAATTTGTTGTAGCAGTTGTTTTATTTTTCCAGAAAAGATTGCATTGCAAATGTTGATCCATGGTTGCATTGTAATCCATGATTGGCGCCGGTCTCCCAGCAATAAATGGTGCAAAATATGTCTCGTTTGGCTTTTCAAACTCAGTTATCATCAATTGCAACTCTTGTATGCCCAATATATCAAATATCTAAGCAATGCACTTACACTTTCCATTATTGGAAAATGCTACGTCGACACATGGTGCAAATAGATCTGCTATGCAGTAAATCATATGAACTGTATCACATGTACAGTACATGATGTACTGGATATAATCACCACATGCAGGATTCACGATATCACTGTCTTTTCAAGAATATTGAAAATTTGGGACGCATATAAGAAGAAAAAGAACTTTTGCAAGATCTCGAGTCTTCGCAAATGCATCATATGGATTTTGTTTGACAATTCGTAGCAATCGCACCTGGAAATGTTTTCTTGGCATCGATTGGCGATCATCAGCGCGTCATCAGCTGTCTGCTGGGGATGACTCTGTTCCTCTTGCTCACGCAGTACTGCATCTTCTACAGCAATGTGCAGAAAAAGCAGTTGTGTAAGTGAGCGCGTCGCGCTCCACCAAACTTTGAAGACAGACACACTTTCATACCAGAGTTTGAGAGCAGTTCTTTGCAAGATACTGAGATCGCTCAGACCGTTTGGGCGCACACAGGTGATTCTGTTCCTCACGGATGGGGAGGACTGCTCAATCAACGACGCACAGTCGTGCGGCGATTCTGGAAACACGGAGGAAAATGCTGACGACGTTCCTGATTTCATAAAAGCAAAGCAGTCAGAACTGATGGCTTTGGGCAGCGAAGGTGCTCACATCTTCACGTTTTCCATGACATCAGAGGCAGATGACAAGCTTGCAAAGATGATCGCCTGTGAGAACAATGGCTCCTGGACATCCATTTCAGGTAACGGTGGCCATGGCAGCGCCTGGTGCGGCCATTCCAGACACTGTCTTTGGTCCATGCGCCGAGCGGTGGTCACAAGCTTAAGAAATTTATCACGACATTGCATGAATTCTGGCCACCTTTTCCATGGTTATGGTGTTTGAGCATGGTTTGACTTGCCAGCTGGAATCTCATCTGCAAAATGAGAGCCACCCGGAATTCAACCCCAAACTCAGTGTATGTCACCCCCATAGGACTCTGGAAAACGTCATAAGCCCAGCACTTCCTAGCTACATCACATGGACGGCTTTGACATGCGATCAGAACGCTTTCGCAGCTATTTACTTGTCACTGCGCACCGCCCCTCACAAGGCGATGCGGTTGAGGTGACACCCCCTCGCGGTGTAGGCCATACCTTGCTTTTCCCAAGAGCCTGGCCGGCTGATGATGTCCTTCTTTGCAACGTGAGCGTTTGCGTGATTTTTACAACATTTTTACAACACAAGGCATGTGCGAAATCAGACGGTCTGGTATTTGAATATTGACGTGACCAGGGCTGGTGGTACCTGATCTGGAGAAAGTATGACATGACCTGATACATTCTACTTCTGACTGAACATTTTGCCCTGCTGCTTGGGACTCCCCTGCAGGAACATTCTGGATTCCATGAACAATGCTGGCATCTTGCTTTCCTTTTGTTTGGGATCCTGCATTGGCTCCCACTCGAAAAGGATCCTACTGTACTTTGAGAGTTGCAGGGGATTTCCCTCGTTTTTAGACATATGTAATACACTTGGAATTATGTATATATATATACATAGTACTTCTAGTAGTATATAGTATATAAAAATATATATAATATAACTATATAATACATATTGCAGTGGATTTTGGAAGTGATATCAAAAGCTTAGAAAACATGATAAACACAGGCAGTGTAATATTTCCTAATGTTTGTTTTCCTGTTGTAGCAAGGACAAATGCCTTATAATCATGGATCCACAACTTTTATTGATACTTATGTTGGCAGGCACAGGACGACCCATGTCCAATTTGGTCCATGGGTTTGTGTCATGCTTTTTACTCTCTTGCCAGTCTTCCAAGGTGATGCAGGGCACCGCCTGCACCTATATCTTATCGCCGTGCTGCACAGTAGTGGATATGAGCTGATACTCACTCGTATGTCACTGGCCAGAGAAAGATGACCCACTGCTGAAGTTCTTGGATTACATTAGATTCTTAGCCTGGACGCGCCAAGGGCTCGACGTCATCTGGAGCAACTTCTACATCGACGGCGACGGCCTGGGAGAGATGTCGACGGCTGTGATGCCGGTGTATGCCCCCAACATTGTGTCCGCTGTGACAGGGAAGAACATCTCGGGGCTCCTAGTTGCCGTGGTTGCAAAGGATGTACTGGTGCGGCATCTGGCGGAGGACGATGCGGACTTCAAGGTCGTTTTCGACAGGCTCATCGAGAGGTCATCGGTTTGCAGAAAGATAGAAGAAGACGTCTGTCAACTTCAGGTGATGATCTTCAGGTTCGAAGCATGCTCATATGCAACCCCACTCAGGAAAACCTCGTGGTACAACTGCTGTATCGTGTGCATCTCCAGATACAGCATACGATCCAATGCCATTCTTTGATTGCAGACGTGAAAGAAATCTTCTATAGGAGTAGCATCGCAAGACATTTTGTTTTTGGCAGTCGCTCTTTTACTTGTGTTGTGGTCTGGAGACTACGAGATGTATTAAAAGCAAGCGTTAAACGCATGGCTTCAATTCTGGCATGTTGCCAATAATTGATTCTTTTGGGTATTAAGTGAAGAGCCACAGACTGCTAAAGCATTTGAAAAAGAGGTCATAGCAAAATTGGTATGACCTTCTAGAGGCGATAGCCTGCGTGCTACAATGTGCTTGGATTAGGTTTTGCTTCTTCAGAGCATTCGCGGCCCATTAGGTCGGCGATCTTGCTAGGATGATAGGATTTTTTGCGAAAGGTCCACAACTAATACTGCGAGCGTATGAGAAAGTGTGGGTACAAACCGGCAGGATGCAAATGTATATTGCGAAATTCTGATCAGTTGTCAGTTCATATCCAATACGAGTCAGCATGTTTGCTCTGATATGTACATCAATTCCAATCCCTTGGCTTCAAAGCGAGAGAATACAAGGTTTACTAGCACGTTTCCACCGCATCGAGTGATCCAATGCGTGAATATTTCAAGGTGCTGCGTGGGGAGAAATCCGAGTGCCCTGACATCTTTCCGAAGAGGCCATGCTACTATTCGGGCAGAGAAAGGAAGTATTACACTGTGGAGCTCCAAACCAAGCTGCCCTTTGAAGAGGCGGCCGATAAGTGCATGGAGCTTGGTGGCCACCTGGCAGAGCCCAAATCTGCCGAGGTTCAAGCTTTTCTTGCGGGTCTGGCAACACGAGAGGGGTGCTGGATAGGACTTCGTTTCGATGGCGGATTCCGTTGGAGGTATGGCAATCGCTCTGCGTCCTGCAGAGGGAAGGGACGGAATCCGGGTGTACAGCGGATCTGCAGCGGTGAATTAGTATGTGCTTAATTGGGTTCGGACGCCATATGAGCAAAATATGACTGCTAAGTGCCTACATCGTCCATTTATTTAACTTCCTTCGAGCGCGTGGTTTCTATCTATGCTCGAAGTAAACGATGAGCGGCCACTCCAATACTTCGCCACTAATGCTCTGCAAATCAACCGCCTTCTTGATGAACACGGATGACTATAGCTTCGAACATGCGCCCACATTGGCATCATGGAAGCTAAGCAGAAAGAAGGTGGAACATATTGCATTGATGGAGTCCCTGATGTTTTCTTTTGCGCTCAAGCTGCATGCCACCATGGCCATTCCGACAGATAAATGTCTAATTTGACAACTCATTTTATTCTATAGATAGTCAGGCAGGGCAAACAGCATCTTTCTAGGTGGGCAAGCTGGCATCTATTTAGACAAAACCTTTGTGCCCCCTCAAAAACGATGGAAATTTATGGAATTAAAAGTGCGAAATACCAATAGTGTGTCATCCAGATAATACAACACCTGAGGATGTGTTGCAGATGGAGTTCGTCGGGTGAAGAGGCGGAGCCACTCCCAAAAGCAGATCCAGAAAAGTCTTCATTTTGGGCGTCTAGAGCTCTGCAGGAAGACAACTGTGCAGCGATGGACCGACGCGGCCTGAGAAAGAACGTGTTCGTTGCCCCCTGCCAGAAAGAAATGCCCTTCATCTGCGAATTTGATGAGATGAAGCCACCAGATCAGTGCTCTGTGAGTTCGTTTTTGCAAACAGATTTGATGACTTGAATCAAACGTATCATTGCATGGAATGTATTGTGGCGTGAGACAATATGTTTCCAATAGGATATAAACACACTTTCGCTAGTTTGTTGTTTGGCTTCATCTGCATGCCAGTGTTGTTCTGTGTGTTGGATAACAGTTCGCCATGCAGTGAGTTAATTCTTCATTTGGCGTTCATGGCGCAATGTGTTGTGCTGTGGCTGTGCTAGTAAAAATAAGCAAACCACGGGGAGAGCCCTCTGGTACCTGATGCATATGATAACATATTGTAAAATAGATTCCTTTGTTACAGGTAATATTCATATTCTGAGCTTTGTTACGATAGAGCAAGTCACTTTTCCGCTTCTCGATTATTGCAGGGTACAGACACCTTGGGGGTACCCGTGAGGAATTTTTCAATGGTTCCACCGATAAGCCTCTGTGGTGACTACGAAGAGGCACGTCTCGCGAGCATTGAAGTCGTGAATGAGACCCACGAGGTCGATTCAAAAACGGCACTGTGCTCACTTGGAAGCCCTGAGATACCCACTGAGGAAGCGCAATGCTGCTCCTGTTGCGATAGAGGGTGAGCAGATATGGGCATGTCAGATACGCGTGTGAGAATACATCTAAGTTTTCTTGAAGTTCTGGCAGAAAATATCGCTTGCGTATATGGAAAACTGGGATTTCAACATACCATATGAATGCAATATGAATATGAATATGCAGATTGTTGGAAGTGCAGAGTGGGATGATTCCAACATTGTATCCTTGAATCACTTTATATCCATGAAGGCAATGAATGAGAATACAATATCCAAGCGAAAACGAGATTCTTATGAGTATGTCTTCTGATGGTCCTTTGTATTGGTATAAAAGAAGCACGAAAGTGTACATCTGCAAATCGAGATGGAGTTGCAGAACCATTGATGAGTCTCGCTGCAGCGAATTTGTTGATGCGCTCCCTGTCCATGCTGATCCAAGCCTTGCGCATCAGCACTCCACCGCTATTCTTGCCCCTGATGCCATTGATGATATAGGACATGAATTCCAACATGTTATCAATTACCAAATTCGCGAATCCAAATTACGGCCATTGTTACTTGTTAAAACAGTGGTGGTGCGTGGGAGTTAGAGCAACATTGACATGTAGCGCTTCAATAACTCGTTGCAGAAAGGCCTTACAACGCTGCTGTAACTCCATCCAGATTTCTTGATATATTTTCGGCAGTGCTCATTGATTCTTCGCTTCTCCTGATGTGATTTAAAGATACTGCATGATGCAGCATGGCGTAGCCCGGGATCCAAACCAGCGCCTTAAATGACGCTCCTGGAATAAACCAAGAAGACGATGATATATATATATATATATATATATATATATATATATATATATATATATCGAGCTACAGCCCTTCAAAATTGTTGCAAATCTCAGCCTCAACAAATGATTGCATACAGATGCGACCAGAATTTCCAACTTTATTTTGATTTTACATGTTGGTATCAAGGCTATTGACTGAGGCGCAGGAAGGGGGTGTTATATCTGACTATTGTTGAATCCGCCATCAATTGTAGAGAGGAAAAACTCAGCACTCCGCTCAGAAAAATCTGCTAGTATCAACTGGTGGATAATTGCATAAATGCAGGCAGAATTATTCGGACAACGTTTCGTCAGCAGTTTTATTGATTTTTAATGTTTTTGCATCAGCATTGAACCGATGCGCTGCTGACTCACATCGATGGCTTGACCATCATGGGTTAAGCACGTCTCTTCTTATGGCCATTTAGAAGCAAAAATGTTTCTTATGTTTTAACGCGTAAATAGGCGCAAAAGTGCATAATAATAGAACCTGTGTACTTAAAGACAGTAAGTACCCACTCAAGGAATCCGGGGAGCGTCAGCTAGACGAGCTGAAATGTGCAAAAAACGAGGTTGGCGATCTCGCTATTGGCTGGGAAATCATCACAGCACGTGGACAGCCGTAAATGTGGCCGAAAAAATGGCCGTTTCTCCAAACGCAAAGACCAAGCCTGCACGTGCTGTGAACTATCTTCGCTGTTGTTGCACCAACATCTAGATTTACGCTTGCAGCTGTACCTGCGGTGCTTGATGCTTATATACAGGTGTGTTCGCTCAGGACTGATGCCCGGCCTTGCAAGGATAACCCGAGAGATCCATAGAAATGCGAGGTGTTCCTGTAACTGTTCTGACGCAGTTCAAGTATCATGGAGATCTGGTGCCAATGTGCGGGCGCGTGAAGATGCACCACAGCAGAAAGCCAGCAGCTAGGAATATGCTAGCAGAATGGCTTTTGATATTCAAATGTAACTTGTGTGTGTAGCAGTCCTATTTAGCACAAAGAATGTAGCAATTCCTATGAATTGCATGTATCCTGAATCTCTTGGAAATCTTCAAAATTCCATTTTGATGCATGGTGCGCCATGACGAGGACTATCTGTGCCGTGGACTTGCCGTGGACGACAGAAATTGAAAATTTGTGGCAGCCCGTTTTCTGTACTGTTCAATCTTGAACCTCTGCTTCAGATTCTTCTGCCTAGAATAAAGCTCTTCAAGGGCAGTTAGCAACCATGGAAAGTGCTGCGATGGGCTCGGTGAATTCCTTGGATTGAACTCTCATATTGCATATCTTACGCTTACGAGGACGACCGTGGGTGAAAGGCAAGCATTCCATTGCATGTAGTGGTAAATCCAAGACACGGCGGTCCAGCTGATGTCGAAGGTGATGTCGAAAAGGAAAATGAAAACAATGCACAATTGCCCAAACCTACCAAAAACTTCGCTGACAATCGATAAGAGCAGATCAAATGGTAGTACACGGAACTGGATACTAATTACTCCAGACCGCCATGGGGCCCTGTCAGTGGCCTGGTAATCTCGTCAAGAAAAGTGGCATCGCGAGTCTAGAACGACCACACACGAGTGGGACCCCTCCAGTGCACTTGGCGGTGATAGAAGGGCAGCACTGCCAGCATTGTTCACGCTCAAGCCTAGCGATCAACACCCGTTGCATTGGACTGTTGGCGGAAATGGAAGTCGGTTCTGCTCATCACCATCGCCGATTTCCGTAAAAGCCTATCCACCCTCCATGCCATGGCACGCCGCACGCCACAGCGTCCGGAAACCCATTTTGTGTGGATGACCGCATGGGAGCATCTGCGTATACACACTGATCACGGGACAGCTAGCCACGCGACGAGAGCGCCACTCACGTCACAGCTCCGGGGCTTCTTCGCTGCCACAGTTCCCGTGGCCCCAATCCCGGAAAGTCCGGCAGACAGAGCGGCCCGTTGTGGCCCAATACTGAGGGCCTGCTGGGCGCAGCCTCATGGCATGTTCGCTGCCCGGTACATCGCCACGTCGGGCGATGCCAGTAGAGCTTTTGCTTCCCAGGGGGCGCCAGTGTACTGGGGGCACACATTTTACTCGCTCCGACTTTTGCGTGAAGACATATTCTTGTTTCGGATAACCTAAGCCCTAAACCACCGACCCTCTGGCCGGCGTGGCATGAGAATAGTCGCTCTATCTTTTCGTGTGGATCCCATCTTTATTCCAATTTTGGGGTTCCGTGAAAACCCATGATGAGGAAAACGATGGTCCTATGATCATGGGAACTCGTAGCATCTCAAAGTCTATATGCAAAAGAGCTCAGAAATTCACAAATCTGGCATTATCAGCCTCGATTACCCATTTGTGGAAATCAAAGTACAAGAACTCATGAGTTGTCATCAACCCAGGGGATACATTCCTTTCAAACTCATTCTCAAAAATCTTCGTTTCAACAATTCCGGTTTTCTCTTACCAACTCTTGGAATTGAGATCAGATACTGCTCCCAGAACGTTCAGAGAACCTAGAGTTCATCCGGTGCATTCACTGTGCCAGAGTGCGTCACTCAGAGTGATTATGCACATTTAGTGTAATAGGTTGATAGGAATAAAATAATTCAAATTAGCAATTGTCTTGATCGACCGGCGCTTTTCTCCAGTCAAAGCACGGTTGCAAGGCCCATAGCTACAACTGGAGCCAGGCCTCGGAGCTGCGATGTCCCCTGCGGCGACAAAATATTCACGCATTTCTCGTTTCACATCGAGCACTTCTTGGCTGTCCCTATGGTGGATGGGCCCGCTGCTGCGCCCATCGCAGATTGTGGAAATTTCCACCGTGTCCCATCCCCGCCTCGTCCACGGCGACACAAGAACATATCTGGTATCTGCCGTTGCCAACCTGTCTCCTGGTGTCTGTAGTTTAGCCGTGGGACTGCTGCGTGCGCCGAACGCTCTCTGTTGCCTTCCTCCAATTAATGCAATGTTAGCGCAAGGACAACCTAACCCAACAAACACGACCGACGGGGGTGTTGGATGCTCCATCGACGCTCCCAAGTGGTGAGTAGTGGCTCCTTTGCGTTCCACAAGGACGGCGTCCAAAATCTCTCGCACCGTCTTTCAAAGCGTCTTGAACGGCACCTGAAGC